ACATTTAGTGTGTCACAAGTCCATCAGGTGGATGTTAGCGTGCCTGCTGTAATATGCTGGCATTTCAATAGTCTATTGTGTGCATGCTGTTTATCTAGGGTCGACCCCTTCCTTCCCTGGCTGAAGTCAGTGCACTGCAGACAGGTCCACTCTGCAAGATGGCACTCCTAGATTACCGCACTGCTTTCACACACACAGCTCCGTTCTGCCTAGTTGAAAACGCTCCGTCGTGTCATAGCCCACTCTGTTGGGCAGACATCGGTTTGTGCGATGCCGTTCCCAGATTACAGCACTGTTTTTTCAGACGGTTAGCGGTTCGGCCTCGTTTCAGATGCCTATGTCATACTGTGGAATGTTTTAATTTTTTAATTATTTAACTAGGCAAGTCAGTTAAGAACAAATTATTATTTACAATGACAGCCTACACCGGCCAAATCCGGACGACGCTGGGCCAATTGTGCGCCGCCCTATGGGACTCCCAATCACAGCCGGTTGTGATACAGCCTGGAATCGACCCAGGGGGTCTGTAGTGACGCCTCAAGCACTGAGATGCAGTGCCTTAGACCACTGAGCCACTTGGGAGCCCAACAAGAATTCTGAGTGCACTATGCCTGCAGACAGGGTGATCTTACACAGAGTCCACCTGTGGCTGAGCCACTAGTACAGCGCTGCATGGACCTGTTAGGAGTATTTACCTACATTACATACTGCATTTACCTTCTTATGGATACCTGTTGAGTACCATGGACCTAGTGAATCAGTGACCCAAGATACAGTGGGGAGAACAAGTATTTGATACACTGCCGATTTTGCAGGTTTTCCTACTTACAAAGCATGTAGGAGGTCTGTAATTTTTATCATAGGTACACTTCAACTGTGAGAGACGGAATCTAAAACAAAAATCCAGAAAATCACATTGTATGATTTTTAAGTAATTAATTTGCATTTTATTGCATGACATAAGTATTTGATACATCAGAAAAGCAGAACTTAATATTTGGTACAGAAACATTTGTTTGCAATTACAGAGATCATACGTTTCCTGTAGGTCTTGACCAGCATGACCTCTACATGCTTTGTAAGTAGGAAAACCTGCAAAATCGGCAGTGTATCAAATACTTGTTCTCCCCACTGTATTTACTTAGTGACAGTTTAGCATTAGCATCGTGGAGTGCAAAACAATGAGAATAATTGGAGTAGGACCCCTTTTAGCATGTTCCAAAAAGGTTGCCTAAATCAACTCAGAGTAACTTGAAACCAAGTTGGAGCAACGTGCCACCATAAGAGGTTTAAAAGCGCTTTGGACAGGGAATTAGTTTCACTAAAACATTATGAAAGTAGTTGGACACGTCACTAAAATTCTATCTAATATCCTGATCCCTGGGTGTTGTCGCTGGGCAGAATGATTAAGAGACAAGGGAATAAAGATAGAGAGATAAGAAGAAGTCAAACTATGCAGAGGCACTGGGGTCATTCTCTAAGAACAAATAGGGCTTATGTATAACTGTCTCGGGACCAGACTAAACCCAGACGAGTGTGTGTCCGTGTATGTATGATGACAGGGAGCAGGGAGCCGGCCTGGTGGTCTGAGGCATTTAACTTGACTTAGACTGGACAGCAAACAGAGCAGAGATGGCTGGTCAATGGACAGTGGTTGTACCTATTCCATCAATCTTACCTACAGCAGCACAAAGATTGCATATAATCCTATAGAATGGCCATAGTAATGCAGACAGCTTTGGCTTTGGTTCACAATAAAGACAAATGTGCTCCCATTCCATGGTTTGAGTCAAAGCAGTGTACTAATACCTCACATGGGCTGCATCCCAAATGGCACCCTATTCCCTATGTAGTGCACTACTTTTGACCAGGGGCCATAGGGCTCTGGTCAAAAGTAGTGCCCTACATGGGGAATAGGGTGCCATTTGGGACACACCCATAGAGACATGATTAGTTGAAATCCAACATACTGCGGTGTTGAGGCCTGCAGAGATCAAACTGTTTACATGGATGAGGAAGCAGGGTTAGTGAAATGTGAACTCAGGAATGAGACGAGAAGCAGAGCCAAAGACGAGAGAAACCTCTTCGTCCTTTCCAAGATGCATTCAATCGCTCCTGGGTTTTACGTCTCTACTATGTGTTTTTTTTTCCTCTCCAAAAATGTCATTGTACACAGACACAAACACAAGGCTCAAATCAAACAACGCTCCTTTAAATATTTTGAAAGATTGCTTTGTTTGTAGTGATGCATGTGACATAGGGTGATGCTCTAGCTTTGGCTGGAGCATCAAGTTGGTTTGCCATGACAATACAAGACACAAAATCAAGTAGTAGTCAAGAAGACATTTGTTATATTGTAAATGTCAACAGCCTTGGTATAAAAAACTATGTTGAGGTCGCTGGTCGCAACTGCAACTGCAACAACATACAATTTCACTATCCACATCATCAGAAACGATTATGGTGATTCGGTCCAAATTCCCACAGAGCTGGACGCCTCAGGCCTAAAGTGGATATCTCTTTAGCAGACAGTGTTTTTGCTGCTTTTGCGAATGAGTAGCAGTGGCTGCTGGGGGTTGTAAAGGGAAACTCTGTTTTCCTCATTAGTCCTCATTGGAGACACTAGGGGCAATGCTCCTCAAATATATAAAAAACCTGACTAAGTGACTGGCCTCAGTACAGTAATTGATAATGTTATATAGTTCTCCCTAGCACTACATGTCTTGCAGGATATTCTTTGTATTTTTAACATTTTTGATTTAACCTTTATTTAACTAGGCAAGTCAGTTAAGAACAAATTCTTATTTACAATGACGGCCTACCAAAAGGCGAAAGGCCTTCTGCGGGGACGGGGGCTGGGATTATTTATTTCTATATATATAAATATAGGACCAAACACACATCACAACAAGAGAGACAACACAACACTACATAAAGAGAGACCTAAGACAACAACATAGTATGGCAGCAACACACAACACAGCAAGGTAGCAACCCAACATGAAAACAACATGGTAGCAACACAACATGGCAGCAGCACAACAAGGTAGCAGCACAAGACATGGTACAAACATTATTGGGCACAGACAACAGCACAAAGGGCAAGAAGGTACAGACAACAATACATCACGCAAAGCAGCCACAACTGTCAGTAAGAGTGTCCATGATTGAGTCTTTGAATGAAGAGATGGAGATTAAACTGTCCAGTTTTAGTGTTTTTTGCAGCTTGTTCCAGTCACTAGCTGCAGCGAACTGGAAAGAGGAGCGACCCAGGGATGTGTGTGCTTTGGGGACCTTTAACAGAATGTGACTGGCAGAAAGGGTGTTGTATGTGGAGGATGAGGGCTGTAGTAGGTATCTCAGATAAGGGGGAGTGAGGCCTAAGAGGGTTTTGTAAATAAGCATCAACCAGTGGGTCTTGCGACGGGTGTACAGAGATGACCAGTTTACAGAGGAGTATAGAGTGCAGTGATGTGTCCTATAAGGAGCATTGGTGGCAAATCTGATGGCCGAATCGTAAGCTGGCTCGAGAGCACCCTTACCTGTCAATTTATAAATTACGTCTCCGTAATCTAGCATGGGTAGGATGGTCATCTGAATCAGGGTTAGTTTGGCAGCTGGGGTGAAAGAGGAGTGATTACGATAGAGGAGACCAAGTCTAGATTTAACCTTAGCCTGCAGCATTGATATGAGAAGGACAGTGTACTGTCTAGCCATACTCCCAAGTACTTGTATGAGGTGACTACCTCAAACTCTAAACCCTCAGAGGTAGTAATCACACCGGTGGGGAGAGGGGCATTCTTCTTACCAAACCACATGACCTGTGTTTTGGAGGTGTTCAGAACAAGGTTAAGTGCAGAGAAAGCTTATTGGACACTAAGAAAGCTTTGTTTTAGAGTGAGTATAATAGTGAGCCGGCTGAGTATAAGACTATCATCTGCATATAAATGGATGAGAGAGCTTCCTACTGCCTGAGCTATGTTGTTGATGTAAATTGAGAATAGCGTGTGGCCTAGGATCGAGCCTTGGGGTACTCCCTTGGTGACAGGCAGTGGCTGAGATAGCAGATGTTCTGACTTCATACACTGCACTCTTTGAGAGAGGTAGTTAGCAAACCAGGCCAAAGACCCCTCAGAGACACCAATATTCCTTAGCCGGCCGACAAGGATGGAATGGTCTACCGTATCAAAAGCTTTGGCCAATAAAAGTAGCAGCACAACATTGCTTAGAATCAAGGGCAATGGTGACATCATTTAGGACCTTTAAGGTTGTAGTGACACATCCACAACCTGAGCGTAAACCAGATTGCATACCAGAGAGAATACTATAGACATCAAGAAAGTCAGTCAGCTGAATATTGACAAGTTTTTCCAACACTTTTGATAAACAGGGCAAAATAGAAATTGGCCTATAACAGTTAGGATCAGCTTGAGCTCCCCCTTTAAATAAAGGACGCACCGTGGCTGCCTTCCAAGCAATGGGAACCTCCCCAGAGAGGAGAGACATGTTAAAAAGGTCAGAGACAGGCTTGGCGATGATAGGGGGTACAACCTTAAAGAAGAAAGGGTCTAAACCATCTGACCCAGATGTTTTATTGGTGTCAAGTTTAAGGAGCTCCTTTAGCACCTCGGACTCCGTGACCACCTGCAGGGAGAAACTTTGTAGCGGGGCAGGGGAAAAAGAGGGAGGAGCATCGGGGCTAGTCGCATTAGATGGACTGGGAGATGAGGAAATGTTGGACGGGCAAGGAGGCATGGCTGAGTCAAATAGGAATCCTGACTTAATGAAGTGGTGATTAAAGAGCTCAGCCATGTGCTCCTTGTCAGTAACAATCACATCATCAACATTAAGGGACATGGGAAGCTGTGAGGAGGAGGGTTTATTCTCCAGGTCTTTAACCGTTTTCCAGAACTTCTTGGGGTTAGACCCACAAAGAGAGAACTGCTCCATTAAGTAACTAGCTTTAGCCTTCCGGATAGCCTGAGTGCACTTATTTCTCATTTGAATGAGAGCCAGTCAGCATGAGTAAGCGTGTGCTGAGCCTTTCGCCAAATGGAATTCTTGAGGTGAAGTAACTCTGCCAGATCACGGTCGAACCAGGGGCTGAACCTGTTTTTAATTCTCATTTTCTTTATGGGGGCGTGTTTGTTAACAATATCACTGAAAATAAAATAAAAAAGAAGCTGATTCTATACCAATTTACAGAAGCCAGGTCATGAAGGAAGGGTTTCTCATTAAAGTTTTTTAGCAAGCGTCTATGACAAATCAGGACAGGTCATTTCACCGAGTAGCCATTACGAACACAGGCTGTAAAATAGTGATCACTAAGGTAATTACCGAAAACACCAGACTGATACCTATCAGGATTATTTGTGAGGATAACATCAAGGAGAGTAGCCTTTTCTGGGTGTTTGGAGTCATACCTTGTGGGATTGGTAATAACCTGAGAAAGATTTAGGGAGTCCCATTGCTTTAGGACTTGGTCAGGTGGTTTAAGCCTGTCCGAGTTTAGGTCACCTATCAGGACAAATTCAGACTTAGTGTAAGGTGCCAGGAGAGAGCTTAGGACAGGTAGGGTACAGGCCGGTGCTGATGGTGGACGATAACACCCAGCATCAGTCAACAAAGAGCTATTTGAAAGTGTAATGCTTAAAACCAGAAAATCAATTTGTTTGGGGACAGACTTGGTGGAGACAACCGAGCACTGAAGGTGTTCCATCGTAAAGATTGCTACTCCACCACCTTTGGAAGACCTGTCTTGCCGAAAAAGGTTATGACCAGAAAGGTTAAAATAAGTGTTAAAAACACTCTCTTTCCAGATATCATCAGCAGTAATACAATCAGGGCACGGCCGAGCACAGGGAGAGCTCTGCAGTATAGATTTTTTATGACATTTGAAGGTGCATCAAATGGCAACAAGATCATATTGTACAGCAATTTCATCAGTTAACATGAATACAAAGCCGGTGAAAGGTGGTTAGAATAGGATGGGAGTCCAAGAGACCGTGTAACCAATTGGAAAGTCAGAGTCCTGAGTGTGGGAACAAACACAGTCTGTCCCATGTGTGGGTAAACAAGCAAGGTCATAGTCAACAATGCACGCAGGAGTCATGAGGCAAATAGCATAAAGAAATATGCTGAATCACTACACAAGGCAGTATGGTGTATAAATGAAATAACTAAAATTGCAGTATGGTATACATGAAATAACATGGAAATTGTTGTATTTTTAACCAACTTCAACAATGCTACAAGAAGACTGACAAGGAACATGAAGAGAATAACATTAACTATTAACTATCGGTTTCAACCAAAAGTGGGTCGCGACATGTCCGAGTAAATTATTATAATTTTATTTATTTGGGGGGGGGGGGAATCAGTTGGGGTCTCAACTTACTTTTGAGAGTTAGAATAGTAGAATACACAAGGTGTAATTTCGATATTTGGTTGTGTCAGTCACTGACAGTCACTCAAATAGCCATGTCAGCTAACAATGTTTACAATGCTAAGTTAGTCTAGCCGGTGGCCCCATTGATTTTTTTAGTCACTCTCACTCAGATATCATATTAACATGGCATATGTCATGGCTAAATGTGTACCATTGAATTGAAGGAAATTAGCTTTAAATCTGAAAAGACTTCTCTCTGCCCCATGGAAGAATGAGTAGTATTTCATGAAACTTGCTTTAAAACTGCAATATTGTCTCTATGTCCCATGGCAAAACGTGTAGAATGTCAGGAAATTAACTTAACTTTTCTCTCCGCTAAAATATTTTGACCACGAGGTGGGGCATGTTGCTTACGGCCCCCAAAAGGGGGCATATTTTCATGAGCATGGGTCACAGGAAAACACAGAATTTCTCATTTGAGTCCCAGGCTGAAAAAGTTGAAGAACCCCTGAACTATTATATGACTTTCTAATTTTGGCAAAAGACTTATGGAGACTAAAAGCTTTATTTTTCATTTCAGAGCATAAAGATGTATTTCTTTCACAGGCAATCCTCCTGCAGGCCTTCAAGGGCTGTTTGGTCTCTTTCCATGACTCACTTTGACCTTTGTCTGCATAATTAACGGTTTTGAAAATAAAATGCTAGGACCACTTGTAGAAACCACATCTCTTTAATATGAACAAGAACGCACGCGCGCACGCACACACAGCTGCTCGCTCCATTTGCATTACAAGTTCCAATATGATTTACAGTAGATGTTATTTGGAGAACAGTTCCACCTGCTGACTATCATGGGTAACTCCACTCCACAGCCAATTGTAATAGAAGGCTGCTTTCACATTCCACAAACTTAAGGGGTACCTCTTTATCAGTTGAGGCTACAAAATATTGTCACTACTGGATTAAGTGTGGACTTTTTATTTGTTTACTAAAGGTTCAGTTAGCTGCCAAATTAAATATTGATGATAAATAAAATATGATCTGGTCTAGAGCACAAAACGATAAGTCTTCATCTTTCTGTCAACTTGTATTTCATACTGTACTCTATCGAAACTCCTGGGCTGGCACTGAGCCAACCCTCTCTATCATTTGGCAAGATGCCCTGATCCCAACACCTGCGCTGCATCAGGTGGACCAAACTAAGCGCCCTAGACACTCTGACTCTGCACCTGTGGCCCACATGCTGGGCTAACCCAGGCCTCTGGCTGCAGACTGGCACTTCAAAGCCAGCGAACTGAGAGGAGGAAGAGGAGGAGGAAATGGAGGAGTAGAAAAGGGTCTAAATGGCACAAGCTGGTGATGCAGTAAATCAAGGCAGTGCCCAATGAAGAGAAGTCAAAAACTCACGTAAGAGGTTGCCAGCGCATAGTGTAATATTTCTTGGTCTCTGGGTTGGTGGTGCTGGCTGGTGTCCCCTCTGTCCTCCATGCAGCTCTGGTCTCAGCGGGCACTGGGGTGGCGGTGGTGGGGATGACGGTGGTTGGTGGGAGGGTGGTGGTTGGTGAGAGGGTGGCGGTAGGTGGGAGGGTGATGCTTGGTGCTGAGGCGACGGTGGTGCTGACCATGGGGCTGGTGGGGCGCAGGAAGGCCCAGGGCAGGCCTACAAGGCCGTAGGTCGCGCTTGCAAACTCACAGCGGGCCCCGTAGAAGCCCATTCGGCATTCACAGATGTTGGGCTGCCTGCACACGGCTCCGTTGTGGCAGCGTGGAAGGCACCTTGCTTCAAGCGGGGGGAGAGAGAGGAGGAGAAGGTTTATAAAACCAGAGCAGTGGACTGTGGTTGAGAGGGCTAAGATACTAGAGCAGAAACTCAAGCGTAAGAGGAAAGCTGCTTCGACCACTTTGTGCTGCACCTTTTACTATCTCAATAAAAACTCAATAGGACAAACAGCTTATTGTGCATTGTAACTTAACAAGGAAAACAGCCAATGGTGGAACGGTCAAGATTTCACTCCCCTGAAATAAACTAAGGAATGAAAAGGGGAGAGGAGGGAGAGAGCCATGGTCCTGGATACAGGGAGGGGGTATTCATGCATACACGATGCAGGGTTTACGGGCTCCGTGCCCCTCCAGGCCCCCACCCCCGGCCACTAGCTCTTGGTTTCTCCCATCATCCCTGGCTGGGCGTCATTGTGCCTGGGCCGAACCCCCTGGAGGGCTCCAGTAATGGCCCATTGGCCACAGACAACAACAGCGTATCCCAAACCCAGCAGCTTACCACAAATCTCCTGGCCGCCTCCATGAATATCAACAGCGATGGGCACCGCTTACTGACATTGTTTCAGGAGTTGTGCACGGAAACACTTTTTCATGGCTTTTTCGCACGAATGCTAGCACAATGTGGCCAAACAGAAGTGAGACTCAAAGTGCACAGTGGACTGAATCTAACTAAGGGCTCTATTCAATCAGATCGGCTTTAGCCGACATCCGCATAGCAGTTGTTTTGGCGGTGCCGGAGGTGGAACTGTGTTAGGGCTGTCAAATGCACAAGAGGCTCCTGGCATTATACCTAATGCGGACATTGCCATTGGCTACACGGAGACACATTCAGAGAAATCCCATGCAGCCTTGTTTACAAGTTTGAACACTGGAATGTGAGATGTAATCTACACCTCCATTAGGCTGATAGAAATCCTCATTATTTTGTTTAATGATTTTCAATTTGAGAGTCATATTTCTATATAGGCGACACTTTCTCGTTCTGAACTTCTAACGCGAGTGGGACAGGTGTGGTTTCATGACAATTATCAGAAGAGCAGCTGCTCACCGATTTGACAGCTCTAACGCAGTTCCACCTCCGACACTGCCAAAACATCAGCTACGTGGGTGTCGGCTATCGCCAGTTAACGCTTGATCTGAATGAATCTAGGCCTAAATCTGCTTTCACTTCAGAGTGTCTGTCTCAGTGTGGCTATTATATTGTATCACTAAACCTCAGAGGGGGAAAGGAAGCATGGGTGTATATTTGTGTGTGTGCATGCCTGCGTAAGTGTGTGCGTGTGTGTGTGTGTGCGTACGCCTGTGTGCATGAATGAAAGTGTGTGACAGTGTGAGAGTTTGGGCTTCCTGACAAGAGTGCAGAGCTGTGCTATGCAGAAATGCTGAGCCAGGTTGTTTTGACATGACACTGGCCCTTTAAATCCTCTGGGTCAAGGGGTTGGATCAAGTAAAGGTGTTCAAATCCCTGTAAACAAGGCTTATGGAGGTGTGGATTATAATGATAACACCACAGAGATGTGTTGGAGACGGACGTGAATAGGAGCTCTTCCTTTCTTCAAAGGTCCTGATCTCTTCTCCGTGTACACCATGGTGTGTAGACAAAGCAGGGCCCGTATTCATAAGGCCTCTCAGAGTTACATTGCTGATCTAGAATCAGTTCTGCCTTTTAGATCATAATTAATATGATTATATGGACAGGGGGGTATCTGATCCTAGATCAGCACTCCTACTCTGAGACGCTTAGGTCTATCAAGGGTTTAGCTAAAGGCTTGCTGGCCCAGGGTCAAGTCCAGGTTGAACCACCATCACAGACCACTATGGCTGTGTTTACACAGGCAGCCCAATTCTGTTCTTTTTTCCACTAATTGGTCTTTTGACCAATCACATCAGATCTTTTCACATCATACCTTTTCAGAGCTGGTCTGATTGGTCAAAAGACCAATTAGTGAAATAAATATTAGAATTGAGCTGCCTCTGTAGACGCAGCCTAAGACAGGCTCTCTAAGACCAGAAGTGCTCAACACTATCAACACATGACATATTCACTTTCATAACATATCGAAACACATCGATACCGGACACTTTTTGCTACACCCTGCAAGCCTACAGGTGTCCTATCTTAATTTGATCAATCTGTTGTTGCAGAGAATTTTCCTGAATATTGTAGTGTATTCGAGGTTTAAAAAGGTCAAATTAAGATAGTATATCTGTAAACTGTGTAGATCTTGACCGGAATTCACATTTGCCATCCACACCCCCACCATAATCAGAAAATGATGATACAATGAAATCATACATGCTCCAGATGTCTGACTGAGTGAAATGGGAGGAAACACAGGTTGGACTGGGTTCTGCTGATGTTGGATGTAACATTACAACTTCCAGCTGGGTGGAGAGAACATTCCATTGTCTTATAGAGCATGATTGATGCTCTCTCGCTCCTTATTAAACCAACTATTGACAGCTTGCTGTCTATATACAGTACTGGGAATAGACCATTCACAAGCACCATGATAGGGACTGTTGTCATCATGCACTCCAAAAATCTGAGGGGGCACAAAGTACGTGAGGATGGCTGGGGGGTGG